TCTATCATGCGTGTGTCTGTGTGGATTTGTAGTTAAATTCGTTTATTCTAACACATTAAAGTCCTCTAATCGCTTCGAGCATGTTTGGAAAGCATTTCTGCCACTCTAAATGCCAAAAATTGGTTCAGGACTAGTATGTGTGAACGCTTATAATGATTATAGGGAGTTAAGTAGTTAAGAGTACTGACCACTTCACTTACCTTGGGAATCTCATTCGTGATAAGTTTTTAACAGACGGGATATCGTCATGGTCTGACTAGGGTCACTGGACGTTTGATTACTTAGATCAACTGTTGCGTATACGAGATGTTTTTCTGCCAAATTGGTCACTTTAAATTTACTTGTAGAACAAATTGTCACAATGTATTTCTGCTCATTTTAATGGAGGTGAACAAATGTAAGCACTTATTTGACTCACCTAACGTCGATACCTTACGGAGTGGCATTGCAAAGAATATCAATGTTTTTTAAAATGCTTAACTATCTCCTATAGCAGTATTGAAAATGCACTCGGGATATTATGACCCATTCTATCAGTTATTGAAGGTGTTATGCAAGAAAATGGACTAACAGTGATGCAGATGACACAATTTATAACAGCTATTCTTATTTCATTTCGGGAAAATAAGTTCCTATGCATAAAGAAAAAATTACTATAGACACGCTTACTACTGTATGTGACCAACTGGTTGAAATGCAGTTCAATTCCTTTTATATTACGAAATTTAGACAGTCCATCTCAATGAAACGTTCGAATTTTTTAATGTCAGACGCGTTTTTGCGAAACATTCATTTCAAATGTTTTGTACATTTCAATGTGTGAATATTTGTGGATTGCTTTTTACTTTCGGGCTGTTTTTTGTTATGTTCACAGTTTGTATTATTGAAGCACTTGCCACAGATCAATCAAAACTGGAAGATTTACAATTAAGTCAAGGTTTACAAGGTACACTGATTGTTTACTGTATCCCCATCAATATATGTACATGTTAATACTTTTGTTATTATTTCTAGTTTATAGCTTGTCTTCAAATGACAGTAACAGCGAATATGTACCATTAATTTTATAGGAATCCTTTTACAGTCAATCAACTGCTTTATTTCTTATGCAACGGTTTTTGCATGAGAAGAATAATTCTTTAAAGTCATTTCTCACAGTTGTAGAGAAGTTCGAGATGTTTTAATATCTTGATCCAACATTAGTTATAAATGGTCACATCAAGAAATATGTGATCGCTCCTCCAGTTTCATATCTATGGTAATATCGTCAATAAATCTCACACATAATTATTTAGAAAACATTTTAGTATTGATTGTTTTACCCATTCTCCCCTCCTTATTCTTATTTACATAATTAATCAGCATTGTCGTTGTTTACTGGATTGTTGTGCAGAAAGTATCAATTCGATTTGGCTGGTTTGTTACAATATGTACTGAATCAATTAAAAGTTGGTAAAAGGTAAGTCATTAGTATATGCGTCGGTGTGTTTAATTTTCTGGCTGAACTTCGGATGATCATGTATGACAATGGCTGATTATTTTCAGACTAACCAGTTGTAGTCGTTCATTTTTGTTTTCTTCCTTGGTAAATTAAAACAACTGTCCATCAAGCAATGATAAGCAACGCACTTGGAGTTTGAAAATTATTATTTCATTGATGTGTTAATGTAATTGAACCAAATATTCACTAACAAAAAGTCATGTGTGTCATAGCGACGGAAATTTCTATCCAGTACAGTGTCTAAGTCACCAACACGCTAAACTATTAACAACTGTTTCCTTAATTTGAGGCCTTCTCCAGGTTTTAAATTTGGGATATTTACACAATTTGACTAGGCGTACAAGGAGGGTCGTGAATATATCCTATCCGAAGTCCTGAACTTAACCTAAATAACTGTCTTAGTACTCTTCAGTTTTTATTGGTTCTTCAGCTGCTCTTAGTTGATTATACTTTAGATGATGGCTACCAATACGGTCTACAACATTGTTATAATCTCTTTTCTTCTTACCGGTTAATGACCCAGCTATTCCTATTGCTTAGTATTCTCGGACACCGATTCACTCGACAAGTCCCCAAATCAGAACACGGTTGAACAGTAAAAAGATTATATTCCAAATAGCAAGTCAGAAGCACAATAGGGGAAAACGTCGGTATATTTATAGTTTTTACATAAGAAGATTCCAGAGTATTCTCCGACTATCGACTAGTGCTGATTGGATAAGAATCAGCCAATCAGCGTGCACCAAAACAATCATGCATTGAGCATGCTTTAATCTAGTCTATGTCCCGCTAACAAACATACATTCCATACTACTTGTCAGCTTAATCTACTTTCATCTCAATGTTGATGTTCACATTTATTCTCAATCCTAATCCCTTTTACTACCACTATTATCAAGTTATTTTCTTAACAATTCCAATTGATAACGGAGACTTATGAAATGTTTTCGACCTTATCACCTAATATTTTAAATCCTGGATATCAAGGATTTTTGTATTCAATTCAAAATCTCTGATTACAGTAGATAACTTTCAGAATAAAATATGTACTGCTGCATTAAATTCCACTTTGCTGTGCAAAAATTTAAGATATCCATCCGTCTATCTATTTATCACAACAGAGGTTAATTCTCTTTTATTATGATTATCAAAACTTTGCTATCAACTTATGTGGATGCCATTGTTATCTCCTCTACTACTTCTTCAATGTGCAGTGAGACATATTTACGAACAGGCGTAGTGGTTTAATTTATATTTTACAGTGATTATCTCCAGGATAATTTGCCTCCCTTTTTTCATGAAACCGCTTTAGAACACTATATAGTTAATACAAATAATTATTCAGCCAAATCAATTCCTAAGCAGGAAGATGTCTTACAATATTTTCACATTTCGATAACAAATGGATTTTAGGTTTAGACATGTTATATCCCAACGAGAAGTATGAATGGTAACTGTTGGGATCTATTTCTGGACTAATTCTATACATATATTTTTATTGTGTGATTAAGTAACTGAACTATGCATATTCATATTCATCTTATTATAAGCTTTATTTTAACCTATAGACTATTATTATACGATTTACCATTCTTAAGTTATCCCCAGTTTATTAATTAGTCTACCACAATCACAGCAACTTTGGGCTAGATCTTGTACAAATGTTATTTCCCATTTTATGGTGTGATTTGGTCTGTTTGGCTTGTATATAAATGTAGTATATTTGAAATAAGTGATTCGTATCGCAGAGGCTGAGATTGGTGTTCTGGACTCAATAGACAGGGCTAGGCAGGAAAAAGAATCTATGAGGACTCCAGACTGCTCGTACGGTTCTATGCATTGTTGGTTCGGTCGATAAGTCACTATTCTCTAATTGGCGGTATCACCTCGTTAAATATTAGTAGGGTGCAAGGTCACAAGTTATAACAGGACAAAAGACTACAAACTCTGAGCTACTGTTGTATGTATTTTGAGAGAAATTGTCGTATTCTGCAAAATTTTATGCAGTTATCTTTCGTGCACATTTTAATAAATAGTGGCTACAGTTAACGTTTGTAAGTAATATGTTACAGATAAATGATAGTTATTTATCTATGTACACTTTAAGTATAAAATTACTTTGTTTTTTGTTTATTCCTCTCACCATTTCAAATAAAACATAATTATAGTTATGATTTGGCAATATTACGTGAAATTCTCCATCGTATGTCTGGTATCGATATATCGGAAGAAATGACGGAAGAACAATTAGAATCCATGTCAGGTGGTGAATTACTATTGCAAGAAGGTGGTTATTATGCACAGATACGTAACACACGTCGTAATGCTGGACGTCTTAAAGATGCCTTGGTTGAACATAATTTGATCATGCCATTTATTTTTTTAATGGCTCAACAGCGTGATGCTATCATATTTCTAGATGATCCAGAACGTCACTGTAAATTAGCTGGGCGTTTATATGATCAGGTTAGTTGAATTTCATAAAGTTCCACACCTTTTCGTACTCTACAGAAAGGTCAATGCTCCTCTATTAAAAGCAATACCGAACCAATCGATCCCAATATAGCTCTTCTCAAAATTACCATCGTCTTCAAGTTCAGCTATGTTATTCTACTGAGCACACTCTAAAGTTACTAACCTTCAAGGTTGAAAAACTTAAGATGATTGCCTTTTTCTACATAGTATGGAGTGCGGTAATGTTTTTTAGCAATTCTGAATAAAGCTAGTCAGCTGATGGTCCCAGACACCTGATCTCTGCTCTAATCACTGAGTGCCAGAATTATGGTCTACTAATGTTGTTACGAAACCTTTCTGTACTACTCTTGAATACTCAATTTCTATGGTTGCTGTAATATAATTAACCATTTTTTAAAATTATTATCTCTCTTGTTTTCATTATTTCTGCTTTAGTGTCAAGGTACTCTTGTACAATTCATAACATTTCTTAGTCTTCAATTAACTCGTGATGAAATGCAAACTCAGTGTTTAAATATTGACAGAATGATGGGTGAATTTCATGTTCCAGCTGATACTGCCTTTTGTTTTCATCGTAATCTGTTTGAACAAAAAGTTGCTGTAGGTTTTTTTATTTCAATTGTATTCGTTGTTGTTGTCGTCCCAATTTTCTCGTTGTACAAAAGTTTAATTGATTAGGTTTTGAGTTCTAGAAATCAATTTTCTGGTTAATATTATCATAGCGTTCGATATTACTTTTGTTATATATATCACTCCCAGGGTACACGTTTTTGTATTAGACTTTGCAGCACACAGTTTGTGGATGAACTAATGATACTGTTCGACTGCCGAAATCGTAGTAAATAAATTATATTTTTAATCCACAGCTTCCTGGTTGATAAATAAGTCATGTTTCCACCAAGACACTGTTAATTTTCATTACTTGCTGGCGATTATGTTAAAAAGTTATTACATGAATATACAGTCTGGTCTTTTTCAGTAAATTCGCATTTTGCAAACCACTCTCATATGTCACATGCACTACATGCAGTGTAATTTTGTAGCATTCTGACGAATTTGAAATAATTCTTTACAATTCTTTTTTCAACTGATGGACTTGTGTATGAAGCGCAGCAAATGTCTTGAGTTTCAAAATTCGCTACTACCATTTATACACAAATTTGTTGATTTTATGGTCTAAATTTTCTTCGAATTGACAATATTCCTTGCTAATTAATCTGAAGCAAACCATATCGCCAATCGGTGTATTGATGTCAGAATGGTATATAATAAGTGATTTGTTTTTTACAACTACCGAAATATTTCACTTTCTTGTCTTTAAAACAGAACGAACCAGATTTTAGAATGTTATTCATATGCGATTAATGAAATATTCATCTGGAATTCATCCTCAGGCGAAAAATTGGTAGATGTTCTATATATCGATAATGATTGTTGCAAAGTACTTATTTATCAGTCTGTTCTACTTTTAAAAAATGAACATTATTATTATTTACTGATTCTAGGATCTTTAAAATAACCAGGATGAACCTCTGTACATGTAGAAATATATGATAAATGGCTATAGATGAGGAAGTCTTGGATATAATGTATTACAATAGCATCTGGTGTATTATATATATATATATATATATATATATATATATATATATATATATATATATATATATATATATATATATAGCTGATTACAACGCTAATGCAACGCACCTACGAAGTTTGCATTCCTAACTTCAGTGAATCTTTGTTAGATAGCTTACTAGTTTGAATATTATCTTTAATTGATAAAATGATATATCCAGTCATTTAACTGAATAGGTAAAATGCATTTGCCATAAATTATTTTCAGCGTTTATTTGAAAGCAAAGAACAAGCAGAAACAATGAAATCTGGTGAAAAATCAAAATCATTCAGCAAGGTCAGTGATCAGTTTTTTGTTCAATACGTTAAGTTAGAGTAGCTTCTTTTTTCTCCTTTCCTCTCCTTCTTTCTCCTGGATGGAGTATTGTTAATTTTGTTACTTGCACATAGTTTAACCGAAGATCGTATAATCCAAATTTGCCTGTTGTTAGTCATTGGATGAACAAATTTCTATCAAAATTTATGAAGCATTTTATGATTAGATTTAGCAAGTATAATCTTTCTGTGCTTTATGATAATTAACACCTATTATTTGTCTTGAACTAGCCCAGCTTATATTTGGTAGTTAGTTTTTTTGAGATAGTTTATTACTGGTCATTGAAGCGTTGTACAATTTCCAACCATTTATTTCAAAATCCTTGAATCATAAAAGTAATAATTTTATTGTTTGAAGCTTTTAAAGTCTTTGTAGCTTATTCTTAATCATGTATAGCAGCATATTCGTACGATATTATAATTCTAAGTCCTGTTTCAAGACCTTGAATAAATCTTATAAAGGCACCCTAAGACGAACAAGTTGAGTCACTTTCTGAATGATGGATGCATCAAAAGCTCCCGAAATGAATATCGAGTAGTACTCAATCATACTCATACTCGACCTTATCAAACATCAGGCAATGTTAATTAATTTTTATCAGGATAATAAATAATTAAAGACTCATGCACAAGCGTTTCAGGCACACTCTGTTTTGTATAAGGACTAATGATTTTACTCAGCAATCCAGCTCGAGTGAGGTGGAGTAATATATCAAACCTGCAACTTTATGGTTGGAAGGTTATCGCTTCAATATACTGGCACACTACTGATAAAATAAAAGTTTTATGAGGTTAGCTTATATACAGAAAACGAGGGTAACGGATATGATTACACTTTTGATGTTGCGAATACGGAAGCTTCCATAAAAAGGTAAATTTGATAATAAAACTGATCACTCTCTAATCAGTTTTGAAAATGCAGTTGCTCTGTAAATTTCTCTTAGAATTTCCATAATATTTCCAGTTATGTTTTGGTGACTCGGATTTTTAAAGATTTTTTCGAGAAACTATAGCTGACCGTTAACATACTTCACAGTTTCTATGTTAGGATTCCTTTTTTATTATTTAAATTCTGATGTCTAATCTACTGAAGCTTGACGTCATTCAGTAGTTTAATTACCCATGATGTATGCTATCTAAAGAAATCATATTGTGTATAATAATGTCTTTCAGAATCTACTAGTCCAAAGGTTTTTTTTAACTCACTTGATCAATTTAAATGTTAACGTTTATCAAGTGTGTTTATTCATCTATTTTTTATATCATTTAATATTGCTAATCGTTCTTTTTCATTATTATTATTATTATTAACTTCGTAAAATTGTAGACAATTTTCTCAGCTGCTTCTTTACATGTGTGCAATGAAATAGCTGCAGCTATACGTCCATTATATCCAGCTCGTGTATGGGATGAATTAGGCATTGTGTTCTTTATCACATTTTGGAGCTTACAGTCAAGTGATTTAGTTGTCCCCGAATCCGCCTATCAACGACAAATACAACAATTAAAAGAGCAGATTCAACAAATTGATACGCCGGCTAGTGGATGGGTAAATGCATTGATGATGTAAACCTTAGTTGTGTATATTTTCTTGTTTTTCTTTCTCTCTCTGTGAATAAATGTTCATTTAGATGTAGATTTTTGTGTTTGGAAGCTGATATTCGTCACAAATTAGACTCAAACGGAGTACTGTTGAAAAAGTTGGAGTGATGGGACATCACATCATGGCTTTTATCTTAAGTACCCGTTTAACCCTCTTTTAGAGTTCATACCCAGTACCTTCATATCTCACAGCAAGTGCCTAATCACTAGACACCTGGATTAACAATCAATCTCGTACACTTCCAACTTATCTCATGATAAACTTGACGACCGTCTAATGTCATGGGTAAAGACTCTTCTACTACCGACATGTTATGATACACTTTCCACAGTTTATCACCGAAATTCGCCATTTTACCCGTGAGCATGATAAGCACCAAAGTTTCCAGTACTCTGCTCTTCAATGATACTTTCCAACAGGTCACTCTGTGCAACTTCACTAACGAGCATTCACTTTGTCAGATTTCATTTAAATTATGTTTTGTTTTCCTTATTATTTACCGAATTTTCTGTCCTTTCAAAAAGATGAGTGAAAAACTATATACTCTGTATCAACAAGGTCGGCAAAGATCTTGTGCCTACATCTTTATCTTCTGTTCTTACCGGAGGTTTTATGTGGTGAGATAGGGAATTTCTGCGACATGGGACGCTTATAATTACAATCTCTTTGGTTCAAATTATGTTGCTAACTTTACTTATTTATTAGGTACAAAGTTGTGTACTCAATTTCGGCTACTTGTTTTCTTGTGTATGTGAGAGCTGATTATACTATGCAGCTTTCGAAACTGTGGTAGCGGACTGGGGTTTGGACCTTCAAAGCTGAACGCCATAACTGATAGTTTGCCGCTTGTGACATAATGGTCCCAAATTATCACTGAAGGTCTCTTAATTTTGATGTGTTTTAAAATTCAATATGATTAAACAAGAAACTTATTGTTTTCTTGATATTTCTCAGGAAACATTAGGAATCGATCTATTTCAATTTCCTAATGGCGTATTAAAATTAGAATTTCTTTATTTTTACTTGTTCAAATTTAATAACCAAATTAGCATTAACACCAAATGTAATTCACTGTCGAGTTAGAAAACTTGTACTTGATATATATATTGTAGTGGTTGATGGGAAATTTATTTATTCTTAATACAAAGCATTCGGCGCAATATTTGTCTTAACAAGTTATTTGTTTGATATGATAAAAAGGAAATATTATTATGTAACAATATCGATGTTAGCACAATACCTTTCGAACAACAAAGACAGTAACTGTTTCCAACTGTCAATATCCATTAAAAATTATTATTATTACTACTACCACCACTATTACTACTATTACTAATTACTACTAAAAAATTATTAAAGCATTACCTCAATGTATTCATAAAGTGGTTGTAAATAAGTAGGTCTTCTGGACAATCAAAGTATTTTTCGAATAAACGAATATGTATATATTTCTCTGTATTTTTATCTGGATCAATGATTAGTGAGAGAAACCTTTCAATGCTGCTGATAATTATCCCATTGATGGGTACAGTCCAAACATATAGTGTTTTTGTATGTTAGTCAAAAAGCAATATAATGAATCTTTCCCCTTTTTAAATGTTGAATGTATAAGTATGTGTTTGTTTAGTCTATTCTAGCAACGTGGTAATACTAATTAGTATATGCTTTTACTGTCACTTTAACTATGCATGACTTCATCATCATCGTAACATCTCAGAAATTTATTTTCTGTAAAAATCTTAACTTCGACTTTAGCATTTTGCTTAGTACTCATTTATTTAGTAACAGGATTCTTTTTTCAAATCTCCTCTCTCTATCTATATCAAATACTCACGTAAATTTAGAATTCAACAAAAAAGAAACGTGAGATAGAACGTTTAGAAAATTTAATTGAACGTCTAACCAATGAACAAGCTGAACGGGAAGAACATGTAACACGTGTACGTGCTTGGCTTATGACTGAACGTGATAATTGGTTTCAAACACGATTAGCTACAAAAACTGATACTATTACACAATTCTTACAATTATGTATATATCCTAGAGTGTGTTTCACCGCAACTGATGCTATCTATGCGGCACAATTTATGCATGTTTTGCATCAATTAAAGACTGCACGATTCTCTACGCTGATTTGTTTGGATCGAGTAAGTATTTTTGTAAAAATATATTATAGGTTAGATTTTCGTCTCTTAAACCTGCTACGTATATTTTTAAGTTGTTTCTGAATAAAATCATCCACGAAATCTTGTTGAAATCAGTCAATACTCTTTGATAAGTCGGGTGAAGTATCAATGTCCTGCTCAAACGGTTAGGCTACCTGTTTTTCACCTGAGTCAATATCAAAGCTAAACTTTTAATAGGTTTGTTTGGACATCTTCACTGCATGTACACACAGACACTACCATCAAAAGCGTACAAGTTATTGCCGAAAAACTGAAGTGAAAATGTTGTAGTTATAGGCATATTTTCCTCGCCGTTTATTCTTTGGAAATAATGAGAAACGAATATACTATAATTCACGCATCTTATATACGATGGATGTAAAAAAAATCAGTTGCAGTAAGTAGACTGTTAGAAAACCTTAAACGAGGATGGTGGGAAATATTAACTGTTTGAAATGTTCATGAAGAAAACAGAAATTTCGTTCTGGAATTTATTGATTTAAATGTAAAGGGATTCATCACTAAGTCCATCTTTCCATATCCATAAAAACGGTCCCAATTCTATTGGGCACAGATACGCTTTTGTAATGAGTGTAAACTAAGCTTAAACCAAGAATTCTTACCGATTTCTTTCATGCATTACACATTTTCTCTCTGCTCTAAAGTAATTTGAAAATATGATTGAATAAGCGTTCAAATATTATATGTTCTTTGATAATAACTCAAAAATCTCCATAACTCTGTAATGATAATTTCAAGTTTAAATGTTACCCTTAACAAGGTCGAATAAGTTTGTTGAACGAAAAGTTGGGATTATTTAAATTTTATTCCCTGAAATTACTTCAAATATAATTTTCACAGACAATGTCTTCTTTATATTCGGAGCCCAATTTCTGTCAAACTATTCTCTCATATATTGACGAATATTTCAACATATAGGAATAGGTGTTCAACCTGTCATTATATGAAATGTTTCTATTTTTATTAAGAAAAATGACAATTTTGATGGAAAGTTTTATAATAATAATATTGATTACCTAAGAAATATCAAAGACACGTTACAGTCATGTAAAGGAACAGAAAGACGAAGGGAATATTAACATCTTAGTGTCCTGTGCTATTTTGATGGCTAAAGCAAGAAGAATGATTATACAAAGTTTTCATGAATGGATATTTCGTAAGTTGGTAAAATGGATTTTGTTACCTTTGACTGTATACAAAATGAAGTATACATATATCATACGATAATTTTAGTGGATGAATTGAAATGCTTTCTTTAGGTTCATTTGATATTCTTTTGTTAATTCGGTTAGTATAGAACTCTCAATCAACCTCAATTGTCCCCTATTTTAGTAAACATGATAGCTTATAAAAATTCAGTAAGAGATTTACTTAATTGTGTATTTAGTGTAACAAACCCTATTGAAGGTGTTAACTTAATAGATATTAATTCACAGAGTCTATATTTTGAGTATTCCGGCTATGATGAAAGGATGATTGTGAAGTAGAATTGTCACTTCTTTTGGATATAGATACTATGCAGTCGATCAATTTAGTAGCTTGATCTTGAAGTTCATTTATTTGTTTATATTAATTTAATACTTTTAAATATAATCAGCCTGTTTTTGTTTCCATTTTTGTCAAATATATGACAATCTTTATCGTTTTCTCGGTGTCTTATTTTTATTAATTCTCGCAGATAGAGGATTTATATGAATTTCGCATATATATACTCTTTCTTCAAATAACAATTATGAAAAATATTCGGTGATCGAGGAGAGGTTTTGGCCTGTTTCGTTGTTAAATATCGTTTAATGACCTTATAAGAGCAAAAAAATCATTAAGAACCTATCACTGTGATTCTTATACGATTTCATCTTATAAGACAATATTTTCCCATGATGGCATTATTTTTATAAGCTTTATTGTAGTAATGTCATCTCAAAAAGATACATGATTCCCATTCTCTTATATATTTTCCCATCCCATCAGATTTTTAATGATATAACGTTGCCAACCAGTATGTGTACAGAAAATGAAGCGCATCGTTACGGTCGATTTTTATGTGCAGTCTTAGAACTTGTGATGCGTTGGCATGCCAGTGAAGAAGTGTTCAATCAAGAATGTGGTCAATATCCTGGTTTTGTTACTGTCTTCAGAAAGGTTAGTTTTGACCTAAAAATATTATTTTACCCGCAAGAATATTTTTCCTATGTTTGTCATTGTTCCTTCTGAAAAGAAAAGAAGTAGAATGTTCATGAAACGAATTTAATTCGTTGTCAGTGGTAATTACTTTGTTTTACAACATTTTCAACTATTTTGTAAAACTAAGATGATTCTAGTAAATATGTACCGTGGCTGGCATTGGAATCCAGGACGCGCGTTTGTACCTATGTAACAAAACTGAGCATATATTAGTGCAGTTTTATCAGTCGCTGTCCTCGTAATGTCAACCACGGGAAAAATATACAAACCTATATATAAGGTATCTCTGTAGAGACCTTTTCGAATTTAAAGGTGATCCTTATCATGGCCTTAGATCATTGATGTAACCAAAAAGCATGAGTTTGCTGTAGTTCCGTTGCTTTTCTCACCTCAGGAAGGCATACAAATGTTTAAAATGATAATCAGATGGACTTTAAAATTTTTTACTGAACGTACGAAATTAAAAAGCAAAATGAAATTTTGTTTACTCATTGTGTTTTTTTTACAACAATACTGGCGTTTTTTTTAAAAAATTCATTTCGATGATTATTCAGTGTAATATTTGTTTTGTTTTTCAGTGTGATATTTTATTCGATATGACATTAATTTAATTGAGTGTAATGTTTCTTTAAGACACATTATCCTTGTATTCAATTAACATGAACTATACTCAGCATGTAGTTTGTTATATCCCTTGGTATTTTTGATATATATGATTTTATTCTAATTAATAATCAAAATAGGTGTACAAACCAATATATAATAATGAGTGTATTTTCGACTAGGGTCGTCATCATGTTTTAGAGTGAATAAATTTTCACTTGTACAATTCTGGTTGTTCTTGCTTCGCGTCGTCAGAATTGTTGTGGTTCCTCGTTTCTCAATTATAAATAATAAGCGACTCTGACATAACAATTGGCGACCAATCATAACAGTTATTGTATCAGAATTCCGTGAAAACCACTTCTAGATCCAGTCAATTTTTGATGTTGCACAACCATTATCTAATCTTATTCACTATTAGGTGATTTTAATTGGTCATGAATTTCCGTCTGATCAAAACAGGACACATGACTAATTCTTCTTCGTTTGTGGGGGACTTTCGTAATTTAAAGATCATTTTTATCACGAGTTGTCATTTAAACCATGAATAAACGTATAAATTGACTCACCAATGACAACCTATTGTGATCTTCCAGGTAAAAGAAGTTTTATGACAACAGTAAACATCTAGAGTTGACTCATATTTTACATATTTGATCTTAGTGTGATTTGGGTAGCGTTCTTTCAGTCTATGCCATTTATTAATATTGTATAAATCAAATATACTCTGATTCTCAAGTAATTACTTTTTGTGAAGATTTTCATATAGATGTTTTATGGACAATTTATATCATGATCTGATATCATAAGATTTTGATACCCTTTGTTCATTCTAAGACAGTGGAAATTCGTACCTCAGGTAGATGATCCATGTGGATTTTTGTTCTCTGAGCTGAACGGTTTGGTCGTGGAGCTTTCATTGTTATTCTGGACGACATCATCAGCACAAACTTCAGGTAGAGCAAAGTGTTCGAATTTCTCCACATATGACACAGCTTGTCCTATAGTCCTCGATGTTGATTGGTCAGTATTGACCTTTAACCTGTCATTGTCTACATCATTTTAATTGTATTTCCCTTTGATTTGATTTCTGGTCCTATATCCGTCTTATTGGTTAATAGATTTAATCGATCATAATTTTTCTGACTGGTTGATAAGTTAGATAGATTTCAATATGCTTGTTGATTGCTGGTTGACTTGAGTACCGAGCTCCTTAAAATTTACTGGTGTTTTCATAATAGCCTCTATCCTAGATTCCAACATTTTCCCAGTCGAATATATGTCCACATGCATTGATATAAGTGAAGACATGTCATGGCTTTTGACCGCTGATTGATGTTTATTCAGGCGACGATGAAGAAGGTGACCGCTTTGTCCGATGTAGTGTTTTTCTCAATCGGAACAATTCTTTTTTGTAGATGATGTTCGGTTTTACTTCTTTTTTCATTTCGTCATTTGGTTTGCATAGGATTGATCGGAATAATTTGATTGGTTTGTGTGCTACACCTATTCCAAAAAACTTCAATAGTCTCGTTATCTCTCATGTGTTCTTCTAATCGCTTTGATTATCATATGAAGTTGAACGTTCACTGCATATTGATATCCTCATTGACAACTGGTCTATGTGAATACCGTATTCTTCTGGGAATTATTCAGTATTTCTTTTTATAGATTCACTGTTTTTACACTGAATCCGTATTCATATCTGTTTGAGTATGTTTATATGGTTGATGTCTACTTCCCAATCCATGCTTTTTTATACACAGGTAAGGATGGTATATCTTTTTTTCGACAGTTGACATTCAGTTATTACTAATTCACTGTTTTATCCATGTTAACAAAGAGTCAAATGAAGTATGAGCCACAATCTATTTCTTATTATTTCGGTTTGTTTTATTTCAAGACATATCAAGGTTTAGATGCGAATACTAAACCAGACCAATTGCAGTATGAGAATTATCGTCATGTTGTACATAAATGGCATTATCGTATTACAAAAGCAATTGTTGCTTGTCTAGAATCTGGTAATTATGTTCAAATTCGCAACGCATTAATTGTATTAACACGAATTCTACCTCAATATCCGAAAATCACACAGTTCGGAAGTGCTGTTGAACGACGTGTAAATAAACTAAAAGATGAAGAGAAAGATCGACGTCCTGATTTAAAGGTTTGTTTATTAGTGTTTCTCTTTTGATTTTAACTTCCGCTCCATCTAATTTTAGTTTGAACAGTTAAATATTGCTTTTTGATCTAGTAAAAATTAAACCATAACCATCTCATACTTCAATGCGCAATTTTACTTGAATTGAATAGGCTGGTCAAACCGAGATATGAAGTCAATCCATGGGTTTACTGGCTGTTGATATAAACTGTGTTAGTCAATTTAGTTTACTTGTTTAGAGTCCATATCATAATTGTGATCAATCTGTGATGTTGGGTAACAGTATTCACAGTCAGTCACACTGATATAAATGTATTTATTTTTTATGTCACCTCGAAAAACCTTTGCAGTTGAAGATGGTACGAAAACCACTGCTGGACTTTGATATGTTTTGTTTGAATATTCACAAACGAGCATTATTTTAAAGTGGAATTTCCTACTGAAATTCCTTTTTTGTTGCCAAACATTGTGGTGTTGATTAGATTTATTCCTATTATTAGTCGTATATTTTCTGTGTTTCTGACATAAATGAATTCATCTGGTTAATTTCATCTCATTTTGCATATCTGTTATGCTATTTTAAGCTAATGCACACGTATAATGGGGTCTAGACTGATTATGATTCATTCTCATTACATAACATCTCATATAAAGTTATTATAGATGTGGTTTCCTATGTACTGTTAAAATGTAGATGTTCATTAATCATTAAATGATAATTTCTAAATTTCTCGATCGGTTTTTTTTAAATTTATCAAAGCACATACAAGATAGAAGTTCACTTGTTGTATTCAACCTGTAAAATTAATGCTCTCATTTAAATTATTTATTTATAGTTTTCTGTCTCCCCTGCTTGGTTAATTGGAATATAGAAAGTAAAAGAGATATATCGAGATGTATTTGTTACATTATACGTATTTTTTTTATTCCGTGATTTATTTATCACAATAAAAAGAAATAGCAGGATTGTTTTGTCCAAAAATAAGTAACGGAAAAGTGCAGATTTTTACATTGGAAGTACCGTTTTAGTCATTTCTCATAATTGACTAGTGTGCTTTTACTTTTAGTATTAAAAATATATCAACATATATTGACCAGTCAACTCTATGTATATAGTATTGTTATGGAATTATGCCTTCTTCCCATACTGTTTAATCCAACCCTTAAGTTTTGTTATCATGTTCGCGTTAGTTGATTATTATGTAATATGATACGAATCGCCATGAGGGTAATTATAAGGTAACTGTCATTCTATAATAATTTACTTATACACACCCGAAAAATTGATTTTACTTATTTCAAGTTTAAGAGCTTCCATCGTATTCCCTTGCTATGAGTAATGAAAAATCTGATGATTGGTCTGGTTAATCTTGTTCTGCATCATGTCATCTCTACGCCACTAAAATTTTATCAAGCTGTACAATCGTATATATATGAAAATTTTGTTTTTGTAAAAGTACTAATTCCGTGAGGAAATGTGAACACAGTTAATATAAAGGTTATAATACTAGATTACGTAATATGAATAATAACATTAACAATAGATTTAGTGATTAGAATAAGATGATTAAAATGTTTTTGATATAATAATTAAAGGTCATAGAGGTGTACAAAAATAAACTGATATGATGAGCGTTCATGAATAAAACAATGAGAATATAAGACATAAGTAAAGGGGGAATGATTTCGATCTGTGAAATTTCTAAAATCTCCACAAAACCCATTCTAATAATAATCAACTGCTCACTAGTGACTGACTTCAGGAAAAACTGCCGAAGTTCTAGTGAGAAGCCGTTACCAGTGGAGTTCAACCAGGTCTGTTGTGAGATAGGAACTCACTGAAGACAATGGTGTACGGTGGCGCAACTTCGTGGATTGGTTGAAGTTAGACATTAACACCGTTGGATGCCGGCTCAGTGGTCTAGTGGTTAAGTGCTCGCGCGCGAAGCCAGTAGGTCCTGGGTTCGAGCCCCGCGTGGTGCGGGATCGTGGATGCGCACTGCTGAGGAGTTCCATACTAGGACGAAACGGCCGTCCACTGCTTCCAGGTTTTCAATGGTGGTCTAGCTTCAACTGACTCATGATTTCGATCTGTTAAATAATAATAATAATAACATTAATAGTAGGATAATCAAACTAATTAAGGCCAAGGTAACGATAACGATAAGACGTACTTCTTTTGTACGCATAGTTCTGGTTTAAGCTCTTGGGTGGCAAGAGCTTCGGCTATCTTTAAAAGTTGAATACGAAGAAATCTGGGTAGATTTGAACGAATCATATAAACAACCTTAAAGTCAATTTGTGGATCTGTTGAATGGTTATAGTCGATTAGGTGTTCAAGTATAGAACTCCTAACTGCTTTCCTTTCACCCTTATAGAACCAGGCTGGGATATGTTCTCGTATCCGAGTTGAAAGCGAGCACTGGCTACGGCCAATGTACCTTGCTCCACAAGAGCAGGTGAACTGGTAGATGCACATGGAGGCGACCAGACGCGGAAGCTTATCTTTTATTTTTGTACACCTCTATGACCTTTAATTATTATATCAAAAACATTTTAATCATCTTATTATAATCACTAAATCTATTGTTATTGTTATTATTCATATTACGTAATCTAGTATTATAACCTTTATATTAACTGTGTTCACATTTCCTCACTAAAATTTTAAACTACTTCATTACCGATAATATCATTATAGACTATTCAGTTTATTCGTAACCCTCCTGATAACTTTGATGCACTAAACAAACGCTTAATATGATGATTTTCTAACTGATTTCTGGACTGTAGCAATTCCTGACACTTGACCAAGAATAGTAGACAAAAATAGTAAGTCCTTCTGCTTTTCAAGGCTGAATCAGATACATAAATCAAATTATTTATGGAATTAGAACTGATCTCGCGACGCTTTGCTTCTAGAATAGATGCTTAAATAAACTAATTATTCGACCTATCAGATTAGAGAAATATATAACGAGTTATTTTCCAAGCTCCTAGAAATATGTTTGGAAAATTTCGTTTTCTAATATTTCCAATCAGTGTGCATTTGTTGTATTTAAATTTCAGCGTACTTTTTATTTTTTGCTTGTTTGTAGGCTTTAGCATTCAGTTATGCTGGCCTAATGCGTCCACGTAAAGTTAAATGGGTTAGTGAGGAAGAATTTCATTTGAAAGAAACTAAACCAATTCGCTCAGAGACGAATACAAATTATTCAAGTAATCATCAAAGCATCAACAGTGGTGGTAACACTAATCGTACTGTATCAAATCCTGACAATAGTTCCGGAACTACTGTCAACTCAACTAGTTACGGTCATAATCCACGTGGACATTCCGGTTCAAATCAATTGACCAGTTTTTCGAATGCGCCTTCAAATATAAACAACACTAGTTGTGGTATCACCAATACTAATACCAGTAGTAGTGGTAGTGGAGGCAACAACACAATTTTTGTTACTAGCATCAGTAATTCATCTAATAGTTCTGCGACACTTGAACCTCCACATATTTCAGTATCTGTTCGACGTACTTCAACACAACCACCACCATCAAATCAAACTAGTAAAATCCCATCCAACTCAACTGTTGCTCCAAGCGGTAGTGGTAAGTCTTATACATGCATGGTCATGTTATTCCTCTCAACTCTGTTTATATTCTTTTTCAGCACATGCATATTAACTTAACAACTCTATAAATAAACATTATTGTTATTACTTCTTTTCTTATTTATATACACTGACTAACTCTAATGTAAGCCTTTTCACAAGACAAGTAAGAATTAAAAACATGGGAACCAACTATTTTGAAGAAAAAGAAAAGAAGTATAATTAAAATAGGATGTTTGGCTTAAAGGAGTGTAGAGATTTCAGCACAAATAAAATCAAACAGGGGGATATCAAGGAAAATTGAATAGCTGTTTAGTTTTGTACTCCACAGAAGTGCATATTCACAGCTTGCTCAAGAATTGAAGCAAACACTGGTCTTGTGCTCATGAGCGACTAGTTTCGAAATGGATTGTCAACGTTTTGGTATGAATTCCTCATTAATTGATTGACAACCATGTGAGCAGTGAAACAGTCTTCTGACAACTTCATTCTTTTATGTGGACATGGAGGAGATTGAAATATGTATCATTGAGTCCCAACCTATTACTCTACAGGTAACTCACGCTAGAAGAACTAAATGTATTGGGTTCGGTCTCTTTTGAGTCAGTTGTTTACTGCGGATGATCCACTTAATAACCTGAAATAGTTAACTATTGCTCCTTGGGTTTCAATAGTTCTGCAATTTTTACAAGTTTATAACAAAAGCTAACTGGAATATTACTAAAATAAGTGGTTCTTTTCACAGAAAGCAATGCATACGTGTTTTGTTCGGTTAAACGCATTTAAAATCAATCATTGATGCGTAGATTATGATTTTATTGCCATCCATCATTGTTTTGATGTGCCTTTTTGCAAATAGTTCTGGAAACACGGTCACGACCTCAAACAGTGAATGCGTCTATAACAGCCGTAGAGTCTTCGAAATGCAATCCTTCTGGTCAACTATCCGGGTCTGTGTCACTGTCCTCGGTAACAGCTGTGAGCAATTCTAGTAGTTCGAATAATTTGAGCAATAATTCACCTTCCATTCCAACAACTACCCAAAGTAAATTACGATCTAGTCAGTAAGTAAATAATTGACCACTTTTGTTTTGTATTCAGACAGAAATAACTATTTGTTAAAATTAGTATTTAAGAAAAGCTAGCATATAGATTTTTCTCTTAAAGTATGTAATCATAAATTCTTAACGACATTAGCATTTCGAATGCTGTTTATTAATACAAGTGAATATATAGTGGAGAGTGATCAAAGGTTTCTGTTGGGTTGTATATTTTGAAGGAAAACCATAAGTTCATAATGAATATCATTGAAATTTTGTTGGCTCTTCAAAGAAATGTACAGTTAATACAGATATAGTTGCAATACATTAAGAATTACGTTAAAGTAACTCATTTATAATGTTACTTTAACACTTCGGGATCCAATCTACATGCGACCTCAGACCTTCAGAAAGTAACCGTTGCTGTTGTATGAAATCAGATATTCACTTATCTGTTGCAATAAAATGTTTGCATCGAAATACTATTAGAATTGTTTATTAACTATTCTTTTTCTGCTTTGTTCAATTCAAGCGACTGATTTCTTGCAACTAATACTCAAATAATCAGTGTGCTTTTATCATATTGATTTTATACACCATCTTTTATCAACTTTAAAATAACCGGGTTAGAATCTGACACATGTTTTTATTAGTTCATGCTGTTGTATAGTTCAAAAGTAACCAACTACTACAGGTTTGTGGAACTTTAAAATTTCAGCCGCACTCCTTATATGTATAGGTGTGTTAGTGAATTTATTTTGGTTGCTTAAATCGAAAAGCTGTTATAAAATTTAATTATGGATTGAGTGATTTAACTGATCATATAAAATGTTTTTGTTTCTGATTGATTCATTTAAAACCTACGAAAAGATCGATAAATATGATTTCTCTCTTTGTTGACAAATATCTTGTTGGATTTGATTGGTGCTTATCAGTTTATTGTAAATTGGTATATTTGTGTTTTATTTTACCGATTAAATTTTTTTAACAGACGTTTTGAGTCATCTCTACCACCTCCAGACGATGATGTTGCTTCTGTACCGGGACCACAATCACATTGTAAGTTATGAATAACGTTTCTTGCTATTTTAATACATAGTTTATTTTTATAAATTCTTGTTTCAATTGTTTGAAAAAAGTCAAAGGATTACTCAGTTGTCTCATCTTTCTACTTTCACCTTGTCAATATCGCTATATCATCATTTGTTTCCTTTCCAGCATATGTTACTCATATTCTATAGTACGTTCACAAGCTTTAACGACAAGCTGCGAAAATGTTATTGCCTAATATATACTTATGCACCTAATGACTGAATAACTCAACTTCTAGTGAATATGTCGCAGATTTTACCCTCCATTTAATCCTGTCAAGCAACTGAGTGATATCAAGTAAACTTAAACGTAATTGAAGTGAGGCTCAGATAAAAATCTGTTTGTAAATAAGTGGGTAATAATATTACATATTTACTGATACATTTATCTTGATTACGTGTCTAGTTTTTATTTAGTTGTTATTGTTTTTACCTCGTTTAATTATTACCAACAGCATCGAAACGACGCAGAATGGAAGCGGCCAGCGCGAATTTGACTAGTCCTAATGGGTGCATTTTAAGTGTGACAACATCCAAGGTGAGCAATTGAAAAATTTTTCTCAACCTATGTGCAATTTTGTGAAATATAATGCAAAAAATATGGGATAATTTCCTCATTTTGTATTCAAAATCCAGTAGGGTTAATCAATTACACATTATTCAACTGTTTAAACAAATGAACAGTACCATTTGTATGCTTTATTCGGCCTCTTGAAAGTTCTTTTGATATATCGGTAAACATATTTGAAAATAGTGTTTTGAAGACAATATACACAACGTATATGCTTATATCACAAGTAAACTTACCAAACGAATCAATGTTCAATCTTCATATGGAATGTTAAGTTATGAACTTCAAACTGTACGTGGACTTGAAGTACTATGGTTTAGGGATAGAGAAAGCCACATTTAATTCCAATTATCTAACTAACCTACGACTGGTGAACTTCACCAGATGTGAAACAATCATTTTATGTATGACATCAATAAATAATTGGTTTATCATATTTTACAAGGATTGACAGATAAAATTTTTATCAAGGAAGAACTATAAAGAAAGCGAGAGCTTTTTGAAATTTCTGGCATAGGATGCATTATGAACAAAAGGATATCAATCAGTTTTGTTAGTCATTAACTTCACGTATTGACCGTCATTAGTAAGGGAAAATGAAAATGAATTAGAGGGACTAGATTAAAATTTAGTCAATTCAGCGACAGAACTAAAAAAAATATCCAATTCCACTAGACAACTGCTCCTAGTTATACTGATAAAGAGTTTAAATGATAAGCGGAAAAAAGTAGTTTACAAAATTCAAGAAACTTTTTTCTGGGACGATGATGTTATAGATTGATGTTCATTCATGATTTATAGTTGTTGGTTTGTGATTCTTGATACGGACATTTTGCTTAAGTTTGTAAAAGAAACCAGTGTATATGATTTGTCTGTTCAATCAATACACTAGGGACATCCATCTCTATGTTTTTTAGGTGAGAGTTGAATCAACATGGTAGGTTAGAAAATGACTTCCGGTTGCTAGTTGCTTTTGATTTTTTAGTATTTACAATTACCTTATGGTATTATGTCTATTATCTTATACTTATTGAATAGAACTAAAAATTCAAACATTTATTTTGTAATATTATCTTGGTTTGATCTTGCAAGATTAATTGACGAAAACGCTGAATATTTCGCGTTGAGGAATTTATTCACTTACTTCATGACTTTAATATACTTGTTGCTCAAACTTAAGGCGGCTCTTAAACTCAAACAGTTTAATAAACTGTCCTAATATTATGCGTACCATACTGATGATTTGTGTTGTTTCAACAAAAAATTTACTAAATATCATCATTTGATTGCGTATATTGTGGAGATTAGCTCAATTTTAAAGATGAATTTTGCCTAAATAAATCGACTATAAAGTTTAGTGATGTAGAAAGTGGGACAGGTAATATTCAACTCAATGAACAATGGCTGATGTTAGAAAACGAAGACTTCTGACTAGTCCAAAGACAATGCACTCACTGTAAGACCTGAAGGTCCTGAATTCGATCCTCTATATGGTCTTGGATATGCATTTCTGAGCTATCCTATATTAGAATGAACTGGCTGTTCAACAGTCCTTGGTTTCCAATGTTCGTTTAGCTGGAGTCAGATCGTGATTAAAAGTTCATTATCTTCGATATCAATAACAATCTACTAATTTTGCCAGTATTACATTACCCGGGTTCGAACCCTTCTCACAATTAAAGTATAGCTCTTACTGAAGTACATGGTGAATAAGTTCATTTTGAAAGTTTTTTTTACTTATTGATTACATTATCTTGATCATTCCAACTTCAAAATGTCTGTAAGTAGTTAGGAAGTGCTATCACCTTATTCTCGGTCAAATAAATTGACAACATTATGAGTTTACAATAATTGATGTTTATTCAGGCGACGATGAAGAAGGTGACCGCTTTGTCCGATGTAGTGTTTTTCTCAATCGGAACAATTCTTTTTTGTAGATGATGTTCGGTTTTACTTCTTTTTTCATTTCGTCATTTGGTTTGCATAGGATTGATCGGAATAATTTGATTGGTTTGTGTGCTACACCTATTCCAAAAGGCTTCAACAATCTCGTCTTAGTTTCTGAAATGCCTTTTATATGTCGTAGAATGATCTGTTTGTTGGTTTTTTAACTGGAGTTTGCTTCTTCTGATATTTTTTTGTTGAACTTGATTGTTTAGCCGTTCTTGTGAAAAATTGTCTTCAGCTGTTCTTCATTTTTCCGCACTACAAGTGTGTTGCGATTTGTCCTCGCCTTCCTGAACAGAGTTTGTACGTAGTTGGTTTTGTGAGCTCTTTCGTTGTTGCTACTGTAATTGAGAATTTTTTGTGTGTGATTCATTTCCCGATATACTCTTTTCTCCAGGTTTCCTGTGTCGGTTCTGGTGATTATTACATTCAAAATGGTAGTTTGTTGTTTGATTCCTATTATATTGAGATTATGATGTCATCAAAGACGTTGATTCGATTGAAGGTGTTTTCCAGGTCATCTTTTTTTACGATGACGAATATGTCGTCCACATAATGAATTAAAATTTTTGGTTTGATCACTGGCATGATCGAGACTTCCAGTCTCTGCAGAAGCAGTGATGCAGAAAAGTAATTGCTTTTTTTTAAAAAAAACTGAAAATGATTCAATTTTCTTGTTTACTTGTCTTTTGTGTCAGTGTATCTATCTTATAACGCTCTCTAACATCCGTTATAGTCAATCAAGTTCAAAGCGAAATGAATACTTATTGTGATGCTACTAGATAATGACCACGATAAATATCTTGAATTAGTTCTGGTTAATCTTTTTGAACCCAACTTATTGTCTGCATAACAGTGTAATCTTCACGATTAATTGGATCTTGTGATTAGTAGAAAACTGTGACTTACAACATAATAAACAAACCTATGCAATGATAGAATGCATTTAGAGATTAGAATTGGGATCTTGGAGGTCTTGTGTTGTCTTAGTTGAATTGTTTAGTCACAAACCTTCAGTTATCTTTCTAGGCATCACAATGAGTAGATGTTTCAAAGTTGAATGGTACAACTAATGATCACTGATACTCAATACAAGAGACTATAGAGAAACTCTAATAGATCGCTCCTTTTTGATGTTCTGATGTTGTTTAAAAGGACGATAAAGCTTTACCATCAAACCCTTGAGTCAGTCAGTTAAAACGTAGGACTAGGTACATGTTTCAAGATAATGACACCAATTGGATTATCGTCTCTGTGCCCGAACACACGATGCCGAACCTCTGCATTCATTCAATCAGTCAGTCAGCTACAAGGACCAGGCACATATATGCATCGGTCCAAGCTGCCATACCTCAATAGCACAGCAAGACGAACACCGGATTCATAGAAGCAGTTAACTCAATGGCACAATTTATAAACTAAAGATTTCATGTAAGGATATAGTACAGAAAGAAAAAATTAGTTCGTAGAAAGAAAGACATACAACAATTCTAATCTCATAGTTTAAGGGAAGACAAAGTGTGTATACACTTACGCCATTGTGATCTATTCTGAGCCATGTCACCCAGAGTCTCCAACCATTGGTTACGATAGTCACGCGGACCCCAACCAAGTAGTCTGGATTTCCCAACATGGCTGAAACTAGAAGTTAATGACTTCAAGGACTGATGGCACGTTTTCGTTTGACGGACGCTAACTTTCTTCCAACCATCCCCAACACCGGTTAGCATTGCACGTCGTGGTAATCGGTGTTCAGGCATACATAACACGTGGCCTAACCATCTCTGTCAATGAAGATTCACAACCTCATCAAACCCTTCAACTCAGAGGATACTAAACCTCCGGAAATATAAGCCTGTACATGATAACCGAGCTGTACTACTATCTCTAATCTTGTCCATTTATGTGAATGATACTCTTCAACCAGCCACTTTTAATAATAGTTATTATTGTTATACTTTTATCAATAAGTTAGACATACAATAAGCTAAATTCTTTGTCATTAATAAACCTAAAAATAGTTTCACTTGTTCATTTTAAAACCATTTTCTCTCCACTTTTCATTTCACTGATTCTTAACTGTATCTCATGTTGATGTTAAGGAAAAATGAAAGACAACCCAAAGAACATTTTTTAATAAAAAAAATGTGATATCGGTATTGGCTTAAAATTGATAAAACTATTTGTGTTTAAGTAATGTAACAACTAGCTGATACTTTTCTATGGTTAATGATAATTAAAATGTAATACCAAAAATATTAATGTCTTAGAACACTTGTAACGCGGTACTGAATAGTCCGATCTTACATGTTGGGCGAACCTGAACGGCTTACATGATGTCAACTAAGCCATATGGTATAGATTGACAACTATTCGTAGCTCATTCAGCGTAGGTCACCTCCACTACTGTCAGACTCAGTATCCTAATTTATATACAGACACATGAGTTGGGTAAATTATTATTCAGCTATTTGGAATAGAGCTTCACATGTGCGTTCGGTTTTCCATAAGATCATGAATCAATAGCTGAATCGGTTCTAATAAGGAGGACTCAAATTAGGCAGTTCTTTACTATTATATGTTCATGCGTTCTTTGAAGTATAAACCCAATAAAAGTTTCCTAATTCATATACTCACAGTGACCTTTGTTATTATTTGCTTGACTGTTGTCATTTTGGGTTTGCTAATTTTGTTTTATCCGAAGATCATTGAGTAGTTCCATTTCAGATTGAACATCTGTTCCTGAAAGTCTCATATCAAGATGTCAATTATTATCTTTGAAACGTTGTTATGTGATACCCACCTTGTATTTCCGAGTTTCTATATGCTTGGGTTCTTATCACAAAATCTCAGTTCCCGTTATTAGCAGTTACCCTAAGCTCGTACTGAACCTCAATTTCAAGATTTCGCAGGTCTACGGAACACAAATATCATCAAGTTTGTGTTAAGAAGTGTTTGTTTTTGTATAATTATTTTGTTCTGTTAGCTTAGTTTGTAATTGTATTTCTTCAAAATTCTTACTGTTTAATGTACATTTACGTTAATCTTTAATCTGGTGGTTGATCGACCTTGTTCGCATTGGTATATCGGATATATGTCGATACATCTATTGATTGGTAATTAAATTATCATCACGCTTCTCTGGTATCTGTAACATTTTTAAATACCTGATATTTTCCCGATAAAATTTGTATCCGTACTTGTCCGTGATAAGTTGATGTAACTCATATGGAAGTTTTTATTTAAACTGATTTGTGTTTAAAATAGACTGTTTGTATTGTTCATAATCAGAATTGTACCTTGACAACTACACCGTCCATCTCAGTGTTAAATTTTAATGCTTTAATTGCTGGCATTTATTATTCTTCTTTATTGAAATTAAAATGGTTAATATTCACTTTTAATTCAATATGTAAGTAGTATGTATGAACTAGACGGAAAAATCCTCATTTGAACAGTTTAGAAAAAATGTTAATGCGAACAATAGAAAGAATTACTTCGTAGCTTTATTTGTCACTTTCTTATACATCCAGAAGTTAATTTGATATACATCTTAGTCGTAAAGATTCTTACATCTTTTGATTTTTAAGTTTATTTGGTTTCTGTTGCATTATCTTGCATGGTTGCACACACTTGGAATAAACGTTCACTTGTTTGTGTGCTAACAGTACCAGATGTTTTTAGTTAAGCTAAAATGAATTTGATTTTATTTTTAAAAGTAATTATTATTGTACAAAAGCTAATTAGTTGTCATGAGTGATATCAGGTAAACTACATGACATGTTATTTTACGTATAAATTTTACCAATCTATTTTGACCATGTATTAGTTCATCATGTTACAGAGCTAATTGAGATAAAACATTTTGTAATAAGCCAGTGATAAATTCTAATCATGATATATCTTTTTAAAGATTTTCAGCTTTAATCTTATAACTCGTATAATTGCTAAAAGTGAAATAAGGGTGGCTTATTTCCTTTTGTAAAGAACGTCTTTATAATTACTTGTACTGAATGGCTGATAGTAAAACATCTATAATCTTTCTTTGACTTTTCCCATCTTTATGTTTCAATGTAGTACGCGTATTTATTTTCTTTGAAACAGGCATCAGTGAACACAGTTGACGAACCACGTGAGTCACATAAATCTTCCACACGTAAACGTTCAACTCCCACAACTATTCCAGGAAGTGCACCGATCACTCCAGAAACTGCTATACAAAATTTACGCTACACAAATGCCGGTATAGTTTCCAACACTGTTCCCAGTGTTAATTCTTGCAGCGGCGGTAGTAGTGGTACTGGTAGTCGTTCAACAACAAGTCCTGGTGAAAATGTTTACCCTGTTAATTCTTCTCTACGTCATCATCATCATCATCAATCTAGACAGTCGAGTCATCAAAGAGCATCATCAGGTAATTCTACTGAAAGTAGAGAACCAAGCTTAGAAAATGAACGAAATTTAATTGCTTCCAGTTCAGCAGGTTTGGTAAAGAAAGCAAAGAAAGGTAAGCGAAAATAAAGGTAGGTCTTAGTTCACTTCCCGAATTATGTTGTAATGTATATTTTATGGAATATTATGATGTTGCTTGTTTAGCAGGTTACCTATTCAAATCTCTTTTTGCTAATTCTATGCTGCATTGCTCCGATACAGTAATTTATTTATCAAATATATTTTCAAAGCCACACTTTGTATGTATATGTCTGGTGATATTCTTTAGTTACTCGAATCAAAGTAGATCGAGCAAGGTTCGAACCTGGAGCTCATGGTCTGCAATTTAGGTGCTTTAACTGCTCCACTCATATACAGTAGATAAATTTATATTTGTAAAGACCGTAATGCTATAGTAGGATAGCAACTTTATTGATGATATTGCGATGGTATAGGAGTAGGTTGGAAGAAAGCTAGGTGCGGCCAGACCAAAACATGGCACAAGTCCATGAAGTCACTGACAAATGGACTGAGTCATGTTGGTAGATGTAGACTACCTGGTTGGGGACCGCGAGATGATAGCAACCGATGGTTAGAGACCCTGAATGACACGGCTCAAAATCGTTTGCAATGGTGTGCGCGGGTGCATCCACTTTGTGTTCTCCCAAATTCTAATCTTCTGAATTCTTCATATCCCTTTCTTTTTTCTCTTTCCAAATTTATTTCACTGTATTATACTCCTTGAATAACATCTTCGAACCCTAATCTTTCCGATTACTGCTTATACTCTTATTATCTCTACCACTACGGGATTTGAATCGACAACTGCATCTCTGTGTTGATGTGGTGTGGCAACTCGAACTGATGTACGTACGTACGAACTTCTACGTTGTTACTGACTGACTGATGATATTGCATGACAATAACTAACAAAATTAAATATCGAATCATTGCTTTATAGCACAACTTAAAAGTGCTAAATTTGATCACCAGTTGATAAGTTGACCCCATCGCCAGCTGTTATATCTAGATCTTAGATTCTTGGTATATCGCGTACAACTTGAGCACTCGAACGGTAGCGAGGAGAGAAGACAAGTTAAAGGGACGCTATTCTAAACAGTGTCGAATATAGTACAAAACTCTCAGGTATTTATAGTTTTTATTATAAACGAAATCATCATTATAGTTATCCAATCCTCATACAGTGGTTTTTAGCATTTGTCAATAGGTAAGCTACACGTAGTGATTCTGGAATGTTTTTCCGAATGGTGATTGGATGGAATATCTTCGGCTCTTTCTGAGCTTCTTAGAGCTTCCCCGAAGTCACCTGTGGGTCATCCTCACACAATGTGTTTCCATATTGGCAAGCGCCTTCAATAGCAACAAAGCTGAATGAAAAACATATGTTCAGTTCATACGAATATTCGTCAAGATTAGAACGAATAGTTTGACAGTAATTGAGCGCCGAGTAATAGAGAAGCCATTATATGTGAAAATTATATTTGAAATATTCTCAGCGATTGAAAATTAACTAAGTCCGACGTTTCGTCCAGCTAACTTGTCTGGACTTCTTCAGGGTGATAATCAAAATCAAAATTATCAAAGAAATATATAGCTTTTCAACAATCAGGATTATATTGTGTTAAACCAATCATATTTGGATGTTGATTTTTTGTAAAATAGGATAAAATGAGTCAGTTAACTAGAAATCGTGTGGAGAAATCAACTACATGGAAACAAATCGTATGTGTGTGTGTGTGTAGGTATGAATGATGTATCTTCCTTATTCACTAATGTACCTATCAGTCGAGCTATGGATATTATCATGGATTGTTTAGAATCTGATTTAGATTTAAATTTACGATGCCCATTAGATCCATCAGAGGTTATAAAATGCTTAGAATTATGGTTAAGATCTACCTTATTCACATTTCGAGGTCAACTTTACAGACAGAAAGAGGGTATAGCAATGGGCTCACCAGTTTCTCCGATTGTAGCGAATTTATTCATGCATTCCCTAAAAACTAGTGCAATCGCAAAAAGTTTATGTCTACCAAAGTTATGGTTAGGGTATGTAGACGATATTTTTATTATCAATAAACGGGATGGTATGGAAGAACTATTTAACAATGTAAACAGCATTTCTGAAAACATTAAACTAAATAAGGAATTAGAATCAGTTGACCACAAACTAGCATTTCTAAATTGTTTGGTTGATCGTCGACACAATAATAAGAAGTTAAAAATAAATGTTTTCAGAAAATCAACACATTCCGAGAGATACTTGGATCTTAATTCAGCCCATTCACAGAGCACGAAAATTAATGTAGTAAAAAATCTAATGAACAGAAGTATCGAGATTGTTACAGACAAGGATGACCAACGAACCGAATTAAATAAAGCATTTTCTACTCTTAGGGATAACAACTACCCAAAAAGGTTTTTAAAGAAGATTATTAAAAATGAAAGAAAAACTAAACTAGAATGTATACGAAAAGAATGGAAGTACACCGTAGTCATACCTTACCGTAGTGAAACAGAAGAAATCAAACATGATATAAGAGTATATTTTAGAGCGAATAACACATTAAGATCGACATTAGTGAAAGTTAAGGACAAGTTAGCAACGGAAGAACAACAGAAAATTGTGTATGAGATTCACTGTCATGACTGTAATGCTACCTATGTTGGAGAAACATCCAGGCAATTGAATGTAAGATTGAAGGAACACAAACAATGCTTGAAAAATGTTCAAAAATCCTCGGTCGATTTAAAGAAACTTGAAAATAAGTCAGCGATAGCGTTACATGCGTTAGAAACAGGACACAAGATTAATTTTGAAGGGACAAAAATATTTCAGAAAGGTTTTAACACCCATGAAGAAAGATTGACAGCAGAAGCGCTGCATAATATGGGCGAACAAGAACAGCCTGAACCGAAAAGATGGTATTCAACTGGCAACTACCTGGCAAATTTCGTTTGACAAGTAAATTTGGAACCTATCTCTTGTTTAAACCTGTTTTTTAATATCACATGCATCGTTATTATTTTTGAAAGAATTCAATGAGTTTTTAAACAATACAATTTATGTTTTGACATGTACATCGATGTTTCATTATCAATTTTTCATCCTTGAACTTGAACTTTATTTATTCCTTCATATCAATCTCTCACACATACATACATACCTACACACACACACACATACGATTTGTTTCCATGTAGTTGATTTCTCCACACGATTTCTAGTTAACTGACTCATTTTATCCTATTTTACAAAAAATCAACATCCAAATATGATTGGTTTAACACAATATAATCCTGATTGTTGAAAAGCTATATATTTCTTTGATAATTTTGATTTTGATTATCACCCTGAAGAAGTCCAGACAAGTTAGCTGGACGAAACGTCGGAATTAGTTAAATTTCAATCGCTGAGAATATTTCAAATATAATTTTCACATATAATATGATAATGCAATGAGAAGACGTAGTTTATCAGAATTATGTGATATATTTGCGCAATACATAAGATCACAGGATAGACAGACATCATCATCCATTGCGAAACATTTGATTGAGACGGGTCATAAGGTTGATATCAAATCAGCATTTGTTGTGTTGTACAAAAGCCTTGGCTATACGAAAACTGAAACTCTCTTTATATGTTCAAAAACAATCTGTGCTTACACTTAACCTACCCTGGTAGTACTGATTTACTATCCAGAGTGGTAATCACATTTGTTTTTATGTACTTTAATATTCTTCCTTTGTTATGACTTACCCTTAACCTGTCTAGTCGACGTTTTAATTTTCATATATGAATGTTCTCAACAAGTATATGTGTGATCAGATTGTTCGAAATGTATTGCGCAAATGTATCACATAATTCTGATAAACTACGTCTTCTCATTGCATTATCGAATTTTATCAAAGGGACTAATTGTTTTAAACATATAATATGTTCAGTTCTCCTTGATTTACAATATTTGTTAACAAGTTGATGTCGGTTCTTGATGAGAATTATCATTAATATTGTTGTTGATTAAATGCAAAGTTATAACTAGTGATGTGGGGGAATTCTCATAAACTAAGTTAAAACGTCTCACATTAACTCGGCGCCCCAATATTGTGAAACTATTCGTTCAAATTTAGACGAAAGTTCTTATTTAGTGAAAACGTCATTATAAATACCTACATTTCTAATTTTTTATTTCCCCTCATATACTAATCGATCATTCGTAAGTATTGTTAAGTTACGGGTCATAGTTGCACAATTCACTTTATAATTTATCATCAATAATTAAAAATATATTACAAATTATACTATTTACTATTTATTTACTACTAGTCAGTTCTCTAATGTATTACTTGTGTGGTATCAATATTGTAGCCTATTAACGATACGTAAACTACTGTGGGTTTTATTAAATTCGTCTTGTTTCTTTCTTGTTCCTCAGCTCATCATCACCACCATCATCAACGTTCGTCATTAGATTCAATGAATATGGAATCTAATCTTAACAATAATATTAATAATAATCCGGGTTCTATTACTATATATTCAACTTCAGAATCCCAAGGACCATCTCGACATTCACGTAGATAAATATTAAACACCGATGAAAATCACATCGGTTTTATTCTACGGTCTTATTTTCTCTCTCTCTCTCTTGTTTTTCCTTAAATTCCTTTCTCCTATCTATCTCTCTCACATACACAAACTCTTTTTACAAGTGATCACATAATCATCATGTTCGATCGCATTTAGTTCATATTTTCCTATGAATTGCACAGTTATCATGAAAATATCTACTGAGTTGTATCATATTCTTTCTTATCCTTTGTTTCCGTAATTAAAGTACTTTCTAATATGTAGTTTTTTATAAGCTAAACATTTAATCCTTGTACGCACGTTTGTGTGTGTATAAGTACATGCGCATGAGAATAATCAATTTTTGTTCCTTATCCCGTGTATCTTTCTATGATAGACAGTATTGGCAGCAAGTTGACAAATAAAATGAATTGCTCTGTTCGTACACATCAGTCCTCTTTTTCGTCCTACAATTTGTCGGAAGGAGGGGTTAAACAACATTTCTTACAAAATCGTAGAAGTGGAATAGCGTTTCAGTAAAATATAGAATCCCATACGATCCTATTCGTTTCTTTCCATTTAAGTCACTTAAGTAACTACTCAGAGGCAAGTTGTTGTGCTCTATGCACGTTTGTTGTATGAGTGAGATATATTTGTAATTCAAAATATTTACTTTGCCCATTCTACTAATATGTTGAATCGGTACTACATATTACATGTGCTTCTGAATTCAGTAGTTGGTTCAAAACAACTAATGAGATCAAATAATGAAACCCATGAAATTACACTAAAGTAAGGAATTATTTAAACTCATTGATTTCTAGTTATGTGATCTATACTCTCCAACCATAGATTACGATTTTTGTGCGGTGCACAACTAGAAGTTCCACAACTTCCTATATACACATTATCAATAGTCAGTGATTATGTGAAGTATATCGCCTTGAGTCATGGATATATTTTTCACCTTCCAAGACGTCAATAGGATTCAAATAGTTATTTGCTTTGCCCATTCTACGGATATGTTAAATCAGTACTAAACATTACATGTGTTTGTGGGTTCAGTAGATATTTCTCATGCGTTTACATTTGTCGGGATACCGCTATATTCTAGTGAAGAAAGAGCCGACGTAGGCTGCTTCCTGTTTGAAAGGCGTCTGTGTACTTATGGAAGGGTGGTCCTAAAGGAACTGACAAGGATCTTATATACTCTTCGTCTAAGTGTTTATCTAATTTGAACGTCAATTACAAAATATATCTAAAGCTCCTAGACTAGCTCTAGAATTCTAATGAATGAAAAGTATCCATATTGGAAGGTGTGGCCTCAATGAGCAAGTATCACGGCTGATTTAGACAGACAGATATCTTCCGATTTCTATGTTTGCGAACTGATATTAGCGATCATTTTCTGAAAGTCAATCGTCTTTTTGTCATCACTAGCCTTGTCTAAATTAACTACTAGTGACATAAGCTTTGTTATGCTCTCTCATAAAAAGAAAACGGCTGATAAAACTAATAATGTCCACCAAGTCTTGTTAATAATAAACGAAACGAAAAAAATCCATTGCAATACAAAACAGGATCGAAACGAACCACAGAAAGTCACAAAGGAATTAAAGCAAAGCGATAAGCCTAACATGGAAAGGCTGGGACGCAACCGATCATTTGTAAATGACTCCAGCTTATTGAAGATATGTTTTCCAACGCATAAAGAGGGTTTCAGCTTGCGTAAAGTCACGGCTTTGATAAAACTTGGTATGCGACCTTTAAGACTTCTGTGTAACACTACATTGGCTGACGTTTTATTAACCATATGACAAGTCTCAACCAAATACTTATCAATGTATGGAGATACTTGTCCATCCTGTGATCTTATTTGACCATTGGGATTCATCTGTTTCAGCAGCTATTTAAGTATGTGTCCAACCACCTTTTATCGGAGATCACGATTACATCTGTTTATGTATGTGTTTCCGCACATACATGTAAATTGATATACGCAATAGAATGTGGCAATAGTTTACATGGTGTTTACGTTCCTAGTGAAACATAGATCTTGAGTTTTCGATAGTGATGAGTTGGGCTACGTAAAAGGTTTTACTGATATCCAGTTTACGCCGTTTTCAAGATAAGCCAATTTGTGTCATCTCTGAATGGTAGGGAAAACTATGATCGATTTTCGGGTCTCATGATCTTGCTGCCTTTTCGATGGTTTATAAACCTTAATGAGCAACCGTTATTTATCAATGTTTCAATTAGGGTCTGTACATCTCCCTCAATCGTATCGCTAGTGCAAGTACGACTGATCCTATTGAATAAGCCCCTTATAATTCCACGTTTGTACCAGATTGGACAGTGACCATGGAAACTAAGATACTGCTTTGTCCATATCAGTTTTCTATATACAGAACGTTTTGATGGAACCATTATCTTTCTTACTGATCAGTATGTCTATAAAAAGGACCCGGTTATTCCATATATACCATAAACACATCGGCCACCAATTATCATAAACAGCTACCCATAGCTATGCCATAGATCAGTCCAAAATGCTCTTCCTCAAAAGCGAATTTCACATTGTCAGTACATAGTAATAATAATAAATCTCTAAGAGATTTGACAGGCAACGTCAGTTGAAGACTGTTTAATGGGGCGTAGTCACACAAAGCACTAATGGTCTTTCTAAGAGATACATTTGTACACAAAGCGTTTACTCAAAGGAAGATATTGTCTTGGTTTCTGTATTAGCATCCAATAAGTAACTAATTGATTCCAATGAATATTTCAAAGAATACTCACAAGGTTGGTATCGAATAGGGTTTATTACATGCTACAATATGTGACATCAGTATGGGGTTGTAGAAATTGCTGAGCCTTGATTGAGATCATGAATCGATCAAGGTTAGATCACCATTGAAAACCTGGGAGCACTGGACGGCCGTGCCGTTCCAGTATTAAACTGCTCAACAATGCGTACCCACAACCCCGCGTGCTCGATTCGAACCCGGAACCCTTAGTTTCGCGCACGGACACTTGACCTCTAGACCACTGAGACGGCATCCGACGGTGTTAAGGGCTTATTTCAACCAATCTGCGAAATCTTGAGACCATTTTCCACTATCTGAGGTAGATACCTGTCTCTACCTGACAATGATTAGCTATATATACCTATACGCTGATTATTTATTTGCCATAATAATTACTGTCCACAGAGAATATTCATTTAGAAAATGATATTACAAAATCACTTAAGTTTAAACACAAATATAAACATTAAATTACAATTTTGATTAGTAATAAACCTTTTAGTTAACTGCTATGTATTTAAACTTGAAAATGGAGTTAACGAATATGAATCTGATTGGTTAAAAAAATAATTAGGCAATTACAAATTCAATCGAAAGTTTTGTGTCAGAATTTATGTGAAATTATTAGAAAATAATAAAGTTGGATGAGTGCTGAGTAAATTAATTATGTATTCAAGAGATTTATAATAATGTTAAACCAATAATAATATAAAGATAATAAAGACAATTATATTTGATTAAGGAAGGTTGTGAGTAAATTGGTCAAATTAAGTTACTCGATAGTTAATATTGTTATAAAATAATTGACCCTAAGGTTGACCAAGGTAGGAGAAGCGGTTAAAGATATTTATTTTGCACATATAGCTATAGCTTTTTAATCCTAACGACTACTATCACTGATGTTTGAAGGACTGAGTCTGACAGACCTAGGCAAAATGTTACTGACCCGGTAAAATATTGAGCAGGATTGGTTTATACCGGCACTATGATCACTGCACTAAATGGGCCAATATAGAGCTGTTCATTTACTGCACTAAACCTTTGCTTAGCCTCACTAGGATGTGTCACGAGCACGAAGATTCAAATACTTAGAACTCCAACTAATATAACTTGCTCTACAAGAACAGTAGAATTTATAGATACAAAATGGGGCGGTCATTCTAGCTAATTCATCTTTTAGCCACCGATGAGCGCGTAGAAAACACTAGTTATAGTGTTTCTGGCGTTGAATGTTCTTAGGATTTTTCCGCGTTATCTCTGGATTGATATTTCACAAGCTGCATCTTTTCTGAATTGTAGGCGTATAAACACGGATTTCTTATTCACTATTCGAATTTCGCCTATTCTAACCTAATTGATCGTATATCTGTTTATAAACTTTCCGCAAGGTGTTTGGTTCTTCATCAACTATACACATAGAATATATAGTACGTGTCCGACAACTAAGAGTTTTGATCAGGTTTCTTTTGTACTGTAAAGGTACGAAAATAAAGAGATGTTTGTAATGACTTGTTCAGGTACTCTTTATTAAATTTCATCTTATTGATCCATCAGCTCTTTTTGTTAATAGATTGTCCAAAAAGGCTATTCTACCTTCACTTTCTTCTTCAGATGTAAAATTAATGGCCGAGTGTACTTCAATAAGCTGCTTAAAGACCACTAGTTGTAATATGCTACCTTTACAGAAGGTGAACGTGCTATCCATATATCGACAGTAAAGTGATGCGTCATTCTTTATCTATTATTCAGATCTTTCTGGTCAGTTGATTTTTGAAATTTTAATTTGTCATCTAAAATGGTACCTATTTTTTCAATATAATCACTTTTATTAAAAACAACCCCTGTTGTAATAAATAACGTTTCGTCCTTTGGGAGCATGTGAATAACTTTCCTAAACTTCATCTAAAGAATGCTTTTGGAGTTACATTTACTGCTTTTACTCTGATAACAACAGTCTACAAGATCGGACTTTAACTGTTCAAGTTCCTGATCAGAAATCGCAACTGGATACCTTGTTTGACTATATAGGTTTTTGAACTGAATATCTGTATCTATGTGGTTAGAATGATTCCTTAAGTTTTGTTACATAGTCCGTGAAGGGAATTCTTGGATCATCCGTCGGCTTATTTTATGCGAAAAACATTCATACGTATCTTTGCAATTTTAGAATTCAAGGCATCCGTTTTGTTCAGTGTCACTCTATTCTGATAGACTCCGTACTGTTGTTATGAAGTATATCACAATTCCGGGTAACGATCTGATTCGATGTAGCTGTTTATAAATTCCATAGCAGTTTTCTCTGATGATCCATAATCTTGTTCACTATTTATTTGAAAAGCTTTTCCATTAGGATTAATTCCTGTTTTTTTTGTCTCCGATTCGATTTTAAAAAAATTGAAGTCAAAATAATGAAAACTTAACTGTTCAACGCAAACAACAACGTTGACAACAAGAATAACTAAATGAGTTCAAATGAAATGTGGTTGGAAACAACAAAACATCATGTCTTGCACAATAAAAAAGTTAAAGCAACCATACACATTCAAATTGATTTTTAATTCCATTTTATTATTGTATTCAAAGAAAAGAAATTCGAAACTTTATAATGTCTTCTATTTTGTTTGCTTGTTTGTTTTTATTTCACAAAGAAAATGTCGACATTTTTTTCTCTTATTCTATGTAGTTTACTACTAGTTAATTAATTTCTTCTTTCTTCGGACACCTTTTTATAAAAGCTGCAATCATACTTAATTGTTGTCTTTTCTTGTTGTTCCCGTAGAATAAACTGGAAAAAAGATTCATTTCAAACTCATATAAAATCCTAATAGCTGAATTCATGAGTTGACTTAAGCATAGGACGGCCGTTTCGTCCCAGTATGGAACTCCCCAGCAGTTCGCATCCATGATACCGCACGGGAAACGTAAACTCAGGATCTTTGATCACGCGAGCGAACATTTAACCTTTAGACCACTAAGCCGACATCCAAAAGTGTTAATGTCTGACTTCAATTTTTCCTTGTAAAAAGTCAAATGTCATATAAATATCTAAAGATTCCCATTGTGAAAATTAGAACAACACATATAAGCGAACAATTGTTTTCAATTAGATCGTCATCAGGCTTTACTCTAATATACATGAATATTTATACGAAAAATTTTAAACCAATAAAGGCAATATGGGTCAATTGGCCAATTTCCTTAAAGACCTAACGAAAAAGGGAATAATTACGACTGAGATTTACGATTCAATTAAGCCGACTGGATCATTTACACCACGATTGTATGGTTTGCCTAAAGTACATAAATCGGGTCTTCCTCTACGCCCAGTTCTAGATATGTACAATTCTCCTTACCACAAAATCGCAAAGTGGCTAGTACGAATGTTAGAACCTTTACACAAATCACTTGTTAGAAATAGTGTAAAAGATGTCTTCAACTTCACCTCCAAAGTAGAAAATATTAATGTCAGTATGAAAAATATGATCTCATTGGATGTAGAATCTTTGTTCACCAACGTACCACTTTTAGAGACTATTGATTTTATATGCAAGCAAATATAAAAAAAAACAAATCAACATTGGCTTGCCTAACGATAGCCTAAGAGAACTGCTCCTAAGATGCACTCTGAATGTACATTTTGTCTTCAACAATACTTACTATAGACAAATAGACGGGATAGCCATGGGCTCGCCTCTAGGCCCGATTTTAGCTGACCTCTTCCTAGCAAAGCTAGAAAACGGACCTCTCAATGAGACTATTAAGAAACTGGATTTATATTGCCGATACATTGACGACACATTCATTATCGTAGATCAAAACACTAGTAAAGAGGAACTCCTAGACCAATTCAACAGTGTTCACCCAGCGATCACTTTCACTGGTGAAAGCGAGCATGATAAGAAGCTGAGCTTCCTTGACGTCACACTAAGCAGACGAAGTGACGGCACATTAAGTAGAAGCGTGTATAGAAGAAACCCCTCTTCATGCCAATATACTCACTTCTGCAGTTTCACACCCATCCGTTACAAGAGAAATTTGGTCAGATGTCTCACGAGCAAAGCAAAAAGATCTGTACAGTAGACACTCTAAGTCAGGAACTTGAATTTATCAATAACTCACTGACCGAGATCGGCTACTCCAGCGCGTTCATTAAGAATTACATGCAGGATATAATAAAGAAGTCGGAGATTTCGACTGTTCGTAAGAAACCTTTATACATGAAAGTGCAATTCAACGGGGATGTGGCTAGTGACACTCTGAAATATAGGTTAACCAAAGTAATCACCAGGACATTCTACGCAGCCAATCTTGCGTTGACCTTCTCTTGTCGACCAGCGATGTCTACTCAAACGAAGGATAAGTTACCTGAGTTGGCCTCTTCCATGTGCATTTACAAATTCAGCTGCTCCTGTGGAGATAGCTATATAGGGCGTACTACCAGGCAACTTAACCAACGAATGAGTGAACACCTACCAAATTGGTACATAAAGGGCCAGAGAAAAACTATTCGCAGTTCTATATTGCCACATCTTATTGATAGCGGTCATGCAGTAGATAAATCGAAATCATTTCGAGTTATCTATCGTATACCTCCATCATTTCCCGACGGAGTCCGTTCCCGTCTCCTATATATAGCTGAAGCCATTGGAATTCGTATATATAACCCCAATTTATGTGTACAAAAGAAATACGTGACTCCCCTATCCCTTCCATGGCCAGTTATAACTTAACTAACAATTATTATTATTATTATTTATTTTCATTATCATTATTTTTATTTTAAATTTTATTATTGTCATTATTTACTTTATTCTATTTGTGTTATCATTAACCTTATTTCCACAACCATTATTTGTTTGTAATTTTCCGCCTCTTTGTATTCTTCACTATCTAATTATTTACACACATCTTATTACGTAATAATTTAAATGTTTTGTGATTACTATTCCAAGTCTATTTACCCACGTTTGTTTGACCTTCTATTGCCAACGTTTAACTATTGATAAGAGTTTTGTTATTGTATTTTATTATTCTCACTATTATCAGTTCACCTGTCTTCCTACTACTATCAACTTGTACTTTTACCTATTTTATGTGTAGAGACTAATTCTATTTCATTGTGATGAATGACCCATATTGCCTTGATTGGTTTAAAAATTTTCGTATAAATATTCATGTATATTAGAGTAAAGCCTGATGACGATCTAATTGAAAACAATTGTTCGCTTATATGTGTTGTTCTAATATAAATATCTTTTGGGTCTGACGGTATCAACTTTATCAGTTGATTGAAAAAGTTGAACATTTCAGATCGGATGTTTATATGTGGTTGATAAACTGAATAATAAGAATTAAAAAATACAACACAAGTAAAGAAATATTTCTTTTCCGTTTGTTACTCATCAACGTTCTATACTAATATATAGATACTAGACTTAATCAATACTTGATAAATCATGGTTAATCAATCTAACAATATAGTGATCAGTTAGTAGCAATAAAATGTGCAATTAAAATTAGGTAATCAGATCATCAAGCATTTTGTGTAAGATTAAAATTAGAAATCAAAGTTGAACAACAATGATTATGTGAAAAACTCGAAAAAAAGTTTGTAAAATAGGTCATTGACCATGCAGAAGGTCAAGGGGAATTAAGAGGCTTTACAAACTTTTTCTGAATATAAAGGTTAGGCCTTTTGATTTATATTCCCATGGATCTAAATTTGGAAAACTTAGGGTAGGTTCAATAGAAATCTGTAGATCACTTTAAAAACTGAATTTGTGTTGACATCGTGATCAGTACCAAGTGGGCGGGCCAAAATAGAGTTTGTTATTATTTTCTTTTGTCTTTTGACCAACCATGAAAGGTTATATTCAAAAATACGATGATTATATATTTATCTCCTTGTACGCCGAATGAGCACTGCAAAAGCAGTTGAAATGTTAAATACATATGGAGGCCGCTGAATCAGGCAATTTATCTTTATTTCGTTAATTAAATATTTTATCACTGATGAAAGAAGGGTATAACGTTGCTTCATCGAATTTACGTCTTATTGCTTCTCTTATACGTCGAATTACTGCTTTTATGACTATGTTACCTTTGGAATGTAATTTCAGGAATGAAGGCATTTTTAGCACCATCGGTAGTTTTAACTAAGATTTAGTTCTAGACATATGCTTTGTTAGGAACTGTTATATGTACCCTTGTTTACTTAATAAGCCAATGATGAGTTTTGGCCGCGCTTTTAGAGCGTTATCAAAACAAATAGTTTTGCCTCTAAGGATCAAGCATTCTACTAAGTTTCCGTTGCATTATAATGGGGCAAAGCTCAAAAACTGTGTTCATTAGTTTTGTTTAATTAGTTTACGATCAACATTTTCTTTTATTGTCCCTTCCGTTCTCGTCAATTAAACATCTAGAAAGGAAATGAGATTGTAGTTTTATTCTTCTCCCTTGTCTAGGCTTTACCATATCCATATTGTGTATAAGTCATATTGAGTCAATTGTCGTTCAGTCTTTTGAAGATGATTTCTGAAGTTTGCTTTGATCACCAATTATTGTACTCTTCTTTTCTATATAAACTGTCTTATTCATCAGAATTAATTCTGATAGTTTGGGAAGTTGCCAAGTTTTTGTTTCTCCTTACTTTACGCCAAGATTATTGGTGGCTTTTGATCAGAATACTGTCTTTGCAGTATTTAGAGTTCATATATTTATAGTAAAAATCTACACCCTCATCGTTCAGTGATATTACACCTCTAGTTTGTGCGTGAATGATTTGAACCAAATTTGCATATCCATTTTATTAACATGATTACAATTACAACAGTATATGGGACCAAGAGATAATTAGAATTAGTATATTTTTAGAATTATGGCTAACAGAGGAATCCAGGATGTATGATTTGTCCCTATTTCTTGAAACTCTCCAGTTTGATGTACTTTCATTCGAATATTTATGTTTACATTAAGACTGGAAGCCAGTACTCTTCACTTAAAACGCCAATGAGTTATCCTCTAGGTTTCTATGTTTATTTACCTACTAACACATTAATAGGGTGTAATATTTATCAGCAGTTTTGTGTATAATTCTTTTTCTGAATGTTTAAGACTGACTTTTAATCAGTTTTTATAGAATCCATATAAACCAACATAACCAAGAAATCAGTCTTAAATATCGTTAAAAATGGCGATACAATAAGCTACGAATAAGTATTCCATCTAATGAATAGATTAGTGTCCAAATGAAGGCAGCACATTAAACGATAACTTGGTGTTTCAGTTGATGGGTACTACGGTTTGAGCTGTATTGTGTTAACATATTTAGGTTAATATGTAAATGAATATTCATTCAGTGTGAAAGTATGTGTCTCAGACCAACATCAGGTGAACAATAATCATAAAAGTTAAGAAACCACTTAATGTATGTGTCTAATGCTTGTTTCCGATAACACATTCTTCTAACGGTACTAGCCAGCGACATTTTTCAGACTAAAATTTAACTAGCCGGTAGTGGAATCTATTTAGTAGAAATAATAAAGAACGATGGGATTTCATGATACAAGTCACATACAAATCAAACAATATTCGCAAC